GGAAAACACTTACTGTTATATGTATTTATCTTATACTCTGAGAAAGTCTTTGAGTGTAGCTAAGATATGTAGAATGAAGCTTAATGGATTGGAGCAGATCGTTCGCAGGAAAGGATAATTTGTGCTTGACTTTCTCTTGACTGACACTTTTAAAATTATTCATTGGCTTTAGGTGCAATTGAGCTTGAATAGAAAAGAGGAAAAAGAGAAAGATCAGGCATCCTTGAAAAAACCGGTAGAGAAACGTACAATAAAAGTTCAACTCAGGAAATAAATTCAAATGGTTTAATGAGAAGCAAAGATGAATTGAATGCTTATTCTGCATCAACCTCAGAAACTTAAAATACATCCATGGACACTTGAGAGAAGCTTGTGTCAGAAAATGTAAATGTGTGTTTTTTTTTCGTTTTGCTAAAAGGATGATGTCTGACTGTATTTCAATCTTCCCTTTAAAGATTTACTGACTACATAATCAAATATGCATAATGATCAAACGACAACGGTCTAATTCTTTCATCAAATAAATCCCTGCCTGCCCCGATCATGTTCATATAGTCCATGAGACAACATGTTTATTGATTTCTTTGCATACATGATAAGCCATAGATCTCACTCTGATCTACATGACAGAAAGGCATCCAAGCCCAGATGGAGCCGTTTGTTATCTTTTTACCTTTAATGAACAATTATGATAAACTGTCGTCAGGTGAAGGATTAAAGGTTTATCATGTTCTGCTTTAACATGTATGAGTCATCCTCTCAGATGCATCATGTGACAATATACAACAAAACAAGACAATATAGAAACATTCTGTTCAAATTGTACGAATCCTTTTTTTAAATCAGGAGGATAAGGTTAACGACATGCCTCGCTCATGCCACCACTGAGAGCAGTGCAGTACAGAGCGGGTGCTGTGGTGGAATTCATTAACTTTTCGGTGTACTATTAATAGTTGGGGCCAATTATAGCCTTTATTCATCACACAGTCAAGTCAACACTGAGATGCAGGACTTGGCACTTTGTGTTACAGATCTGTGCGTACGTGATGTGAAAGCACAGGGCGGTGAAATGAGACAGAGCGCTGCATGTGGAAGCTCAGAGAGAAAGTCACATGCTGGTGAAAAGGTCACGTCTCAAATTCAACGGGTAAACAGTCGAAATATTAAACTGAGGCACACGTCAAGATACTTTTCATTAGGCAGGTTTAAAGTTTTAGAATGTTGGTTGTCGTCATTTATTTACATACACAAACTGGAACGTAGGGGTATTTATTTTTTCTGTTAAACGGTCAGAAATGGTCAATGTCCGAAAATACAAAAGTTCAAACAGCAAATTTCTGGCTGTATTGATAGTGTTTATCTTTTAATACAGTGACTCGTGAAGCTGAGCCCACCTCCACACTGATGCAGACATTTTACAAAACAAACTTTTTCATCAATTTTGAGCCTCTCAAGTTACAGAGATTTTTACAAACGCCTTCCAAAGTGTAAATTTTCATGTGAAACAGAGCGCCTGTGTTTACTCTGCGAAGTTCTTTTCTGGATCGTTGATGTAGACTTTATCGCCACCTACTGACCCAGCAGGCTTGTTCTCATTACATCTGAGACCTTCCTCTTCCCCAGTCACCTCCAGTTTCCATATCCAGTGTCCTCTCATCTCATTCAGATCAACGTCCTCTAGATCCCATAAACCGCCATTGTTGAGACCCACGTGGTTCCCTCTACTACGCATCACAAGGGGCCTGAGCACCAAATTAACTCTCATTTATATCACATCGCTGTCTTCTCTCGTAAAAAAGGTTCTTTGTAAAGTCTCTCCTGATTGAAACGTTAAACGGTTTTCGTGAAGTGAAACTCTCAAACCAAACTGCACACTTAATTTAGTCTGTACTCAAAAACATGAGGCAGTCGATTGTTAGAGTGGAGAGTCACTCAACCAATTGCAGTTTTTTGGAAAATGTTAAGTGTTCAGAGAACTGAACGTCACGATCCTTTTCACTGTGGTCATGATTGTGTTCACATTTCACAAAACAAACGGTGCCATTAAGCTGAAGGTGAAAGCTATTCAGTGAACCCTCGTTCTTGCTCAAGCAATCGTCAGTGAGGTTTAAAATCCAGCTGTACTACAGAAAACAAAAAGAATGGAGCGCTGAGTGTGTGTCATCAGGCTGAGTCAGGGCAGTCACACTAAATGATTCAGTTTGTATTCAAGCTGACAGGTGTGAGCCCGACTGTGCAGAACAACTATCAATCATCACACTTTGTGTCAGTGCTTAAGAGACTTTTTTTGATGTTTTGGGGACAACTGGCCTCATGGAGATGTGGGAAGAAAAGGTGGAAATAGCAGGACGACATTACGGGTATTGCTATTTTCCCCTGATGTCATGGACCCAGAAGTCCAGGCACAAAATACAATACAAGTTTAAAAAAGGTTGGGTTTATTTTCATTAAAATGTTTCAATGCTGTACAGTCCTAAGGTCCTTCAAAGGCGTTACCGAAATATAACTCTACTAAAAAATATATATAGCTAACAAAACATGTTTACTCAGTTAACAGACCTATTAAACTTCTTCTTCTTCTCGTGGTGTTTATTAGCAGTTTTCAAACCAGCTTATGGGAGCGTTACCACCACCTTCTGGACTGGAGTGTGGAGCAGTAGATTGTCAGGAAACCAAACAAAAAACCTAAAAATAAATTATTTCCTTAAGTCCTGTTTCTCTTAAATACTTGATTAGAACATTATGTATATTTTCTGATGACCTATCTAACTGAGCCACAAGGGCAACATATATACTAAGCGACTAAACCAACAGACAAACACAGGGGAGAAAAACAGAAACAGTAACTAAGTCTCAAGGCAGATATACCCTGACTACCCCCAAGGTGTCAGAGCTCTTGGTTTCTTCTGTTTGGGCCTCTGCATAAAATCAGGCTCCGCCCTCAGCTCAGGTCTTTTGCTGAACCAGGAAGGAGAACTCTGGACAGGTAAAAAAGAACAGAGACAAATTAATTAATACAATCTAATATAAACTATCCAAACAATATTAACGACATGTGTGTTTGATGTAGAAACCAATTTGTTGTAAATGTGCTAGTGAATTAATTCTAAACCTGAACTGTTGCGTGATCTTATCTGAACATGGGTAGTGGTAGTGATCTGGGTGAATGTGTGATACTAAACCTTCAGCTGTGTGGCTCTGTCCATCCCAACCAATTACATGTGCAAGGTAAAAATGAATTCCAGCCAACCTGACTGACCCAAACCACAACAAATATCATTTAAAAATGTTTGTCCAAACCCGGGGTTTGAAGGGGATGAACCGCAGGGACCTGGCTAACTATAGCCACCATCTTTCTCTGATCCTCACGGTTCTTTCAGATGCATAAATACAACCAAAGCCTAATTCGAGTGGTTAAAGTCTGGGTACTGTTATACAGCAATAACAAAAACTTGTATTTGTTGCTAAAGTAGGCTACTGCAGTGTGACATATTGCCCCACATATCATCCAAGGTGCGTACTATGACTGTACATCACAGTGTCAAGTTAAATTCAACAGTCCACTCTTCACATTTTGGTTTTGGAGCCTGTTGGAATGAAGGAACATCGGGCAATTCTGCAAAACCTTTTTTGTCCTGTCAGTGCTTATAAAACTATTGCTTTGGCAACAATAACGTGCTTAATACTTGGGAACCATTCTGCCAGACACCGTATACTATGATTAAGATGTGGGTTTTGTTAGCGTCTAAACGTGTGGGTAAGGTTCATGGCTCCATGTTGGTCATCATCAGCCAAACATCAGCCAAACTAAAAAGTCAAAGTATACCTCAAATAAATAAAGATGGTTTCTGTCATTTTATTATACTGAGGTTTGTTCAAATGCAAATTGTTTTGCTAAGTTTGATATTAATTACTAATTGATGCTATAAAATAGGATTCAAACATAATGACTGACAGCGGTCGAGAGACTGTGTAGGTAGGACCTTGATACCGTGGCACCATCCCCAGAGCGCTATACTGCAGACTCTGGCTCCAAATCACATCCACAGAACAAGATGGCAGCGTTAATATCACTGTATTTTGACTTCATTTCTGGACAGTGGGAGGAAGTGGAGACGCTTCGTCCATCTTTATAGAGTCTCTATGGGCAGGACAGGATGAAAGTCACAAATGCTTCACCTCTATCTACCACCCTGGACACATGCAGGTTTGTACCACTGTGCCTCCACTGTGTCTTCTCTGAACTGTTAGATTTCTGTCTGTAATAGAGTAAGTGCCTCAGTGTTGTGATTTGGTGCTAAACCACTGATCTGACCACGATGCTTGTCGTAAATTACCCGCATCTGCATCAAGTCTGCAAGAAATGCAGCTGCTATCCGGACATTATAATCAAATAACTCTCAACCTCCCAAAATAAGGAATTATTTAATTGATATACATTTCATGCTGAGAAGCATCATCGGTATCTGTACCTCAAATATGAAACATAACATTTATGTGATTTTTTTCTTTTCAAGACTTTGAACATTTTTTTAAATATATTTTACACATATATATATTTTATTATTTGTTTCAGTGAATTTTATTAATGTTGAGTTTTCATCCACAGGCATCAACAGGTCGATGCGCCACGAGGATGTCACATCTCTCCCTTACTTTACTTTTCGCGTGTCACCGCTGACTTTGCTCCACGTCATAAACAAACATGGCAGGTGCGTGGCAGGTGTGAAATGTGAGTGACGGAGCCTGTGATCTGGTCACTCGGGTTAGTTTCACGTGGGTTGCCGCTGCTGCGCGACGATGGATGGATGAATAAGTGGATGGATGAGCGGGTGCGCGGCTCTGATTGGTCGCACGCGCTCCCAGGAGGCGCGCCGGGCTCTCTGCTTCAGTCATTTGCTCCGATTCACACATGAACACCGCTGTGCGCGCTCTGTCCATCTCCTCCTGGACTGGGAATTAACCTGCTATTATTAGTAGTGTTGTTGTCATCCGGCGCCATGGATGCGACTATCTACCAGATCATATTCGGAGAGCTCGCGGACCTGAACTGTAGTTTGATGGACGCCTTCCAGGACACTTTTTTGGAAAACGCTTCATTGTCATTGCTGAGCACTGATGGTAAGAATGGGACCCCCCCCTCACCCCCCCTTTTTCTTAATGCACATTGTTGAGATGTCTTTAAAATGCGTATTGGAAAAGGAAACATTTGCGCATCTTTATTTCTTTCTAAGGTTTTTATTGCAATGCCACGACCGATGAGATTGGAACCTGCTGGCCACGGAGCAGCACCGGCAGGATTGTGGAGAGACCCTGCCCTGAGTACATCAACGGGGTGAAGTACAACACAACCAGTAAGAGCTTTGCAAAAGTTCCTCAACATGCATGTGCTTAAAATGGTTTTCTTGACAATTTTTCATACTGGTCGTCTGTTATAATAAAAACACAATTTGATATATTGAATTCAGATAAAGGTAAAATAATGATTTTAGATCAAAGTCAATAAGCAAACTATAGTAATTTAATTCCCACCACTATGCCGATGGAGGGGTGGTTGAAGTGTTTGAGTCCACAAAACACTTTTGGAGTTTCAGGGGTAAACAGCCAAATTCAATAAGATTGAAGTAAATGGTGACCACTTCTTCTAAAAAATATATATAAAATGCCTCCATACAGCTCCTGTGGTGTCATTCAAGTGGCCGTAACCCCAAAAATTCAAAATTGACTTGAAACAAGGTCATTTACATCATGTTTTTAGCTTAAAATGCAAACATTTAGGCTAAATGACCTCGTTTCAAGGCAAATTTGAATCTTTTCATTTTTGGGTGAATTGTCCGTTTATTGATTGCTCATTTTCCAACTCATGAATTTCCACTTGGATGATGCATCAAAGGTCTGTACTCTGATCTCCCCTCTGTGCAGATGTAGAGCACGATGACAATGAATCTCAATCATCATCACTCCTCTGGTCAGTGGAGCAGCTGTGTCAGTGTTCGCCTGTGTGCTGTCCACACATTGTATAAAATGCAAAATAGCTTAAAACCCCAGAAACCTCAGCTGCTCTGTGGCTTTTGAGACGCAAGCGCTTAATTGATCAGATAGATAACTGATCAAACTTAGACAGTGTGACATAGTTTGTAATATTTTCAATGCAGCTACAATGAATAGTTGGAAAATAATCACCATCAAATCAGATCAAACATCATCTTGAAGCACTTCTGTGCTTAGTTTTTGCTTTAACACACCGGACTGTCAGCCATGAAACATTTTCTGCTCACGTTATCTTCTGCAGAGTTGGGTTCACAAGGTTTCCTTCCATCACTCATGTTCTGCTCAATCTAGCTTTATCTTAACTACACCTGGTATTGAAGAGCTTAACTGCACATTGATCTGCAGCTGAAAGCCCCTGGAGCTGCTTTACATCATGATTTCTACAAAAGATAACTGGACTGTTTTGATCTGTCGGTTTGAGAGACTGAGGGTCAACCAGCAGCATTTTTAAGAAAAGCGTATCACACGACACTTTCACGTTATGTAACTGGTGTTAATCATCCGACTGATGAAGCTGTCGAAACGCTCAGAAATGTAAAAAGCGTGACTGAATTTTTTCCAAAGCAAAGCATCACAGAATAACTCCTGCACAGCGCAGAGTGTCGGGGTCCAGATAACAGTGTGAGTTCCTGAGGCTGTTATCTCTGGAATGGGCTCAGGTGTGGTGTCATTATCCTGCAATGCCCCACATTAAACACACACACACACACACTCTTCAGCGCCGCTTCTTAATGCACTGATTTACCCTTTGCTCTGCTGGTGTTCAGTATTTGCTGGACATGTCTAGCAGTTTTGTGCACTCTGTGTAAAAAGTGCAGCCTTTAGCCATGACAGCAAATGTTGACACTCCCTAACGTGTGCCTGTTGACATGCGTGTGGATCGATGCATTTTAGATGGGCCATATGGATTACACATTGTCATGAGATTGAATAATTCTGCACAATCGATCTTCCTGCTCAAGTAATAGGTCTGTGACATTCAACAGTGTATGATGGCATTTAGTTGGCACTGAAGGTTATAGTATACATGCACAAGGATTTATATTTCCCCTGTTACCTGTTGCTGTTTTATTAAATCAAAAAGGTAAGAATGAACAAAAAAAGTTTCAGAACATTAAATCATTATTGAACAAATCACAGTTCTGTGGTGGAATGAAACAGGTGCATCTGTAATTACAAAAATCTGTGTTTGCAGCAGAAGATTTGCAGCAGAAGGGGTTATCAACACTGTTTTTCTAAGCAGACGCTGTGGGGGCTGGACTTAGAAAAATATTATTTTCCTTATCTAGTATGTGTGAACAGACACCTGAAAACATGGGAAATACCCAGACTAGGCTCTCTTCAGAGGAAGCTATTCACTGACAGTAAAATCTCCAATTCCAGAAATGTTATCACAGAATGTCGTCCTGTTTGGCAGGAAACATTAATCAACCTTTACCGGTTTTGACGCTATTGTGCAGTGTCCTGAAAATCTTTCTGTTGTTGGTCAGACAAGCAGAAACGACATTCCCAGAGAGCATTCAGTGGAGAGGTGATGACGTGGAAATCCTGCTGCTCTAATGTAGATTGGACTGATAAGTACGTTCCCCTGATGCCAACTTTCAGTGAATCTAAACCTGTATGCCTCATTTGCCAAGGAATACATCTCGGGCATCACCATTTTACAAGGCAGGCAAATTTGAAAGAGTAATACCCTGATCAGTCAGAGGCCTGTGGCAGAAAAATTATTTGCTACCATGCCAGCGGGATTATTAATTGAAAAGGGTGAGCTACAAGTACAATATCGTCAAACATATTCAGCAACTTCATTTGCTGAGGATTTTAAGGATAATCGATGGGGAACAGTGACTTTCATGTGACGGGGTCAAGTGAGCTCAACACATATCCTTCCTAATAGGGAGGAGTTGAAAGAATACCTTTTTTTTTATTTCGCTGGAGAGTATGACCGGTGGTGACATTGAATTTTGGAAACCTGGAGGAGGCATAAAAAAAAATCCCCGTGATTAGAAAAACTCAACCTCATCGTAACAGATGGCACTTTAGTCCTGTTCTGCAATAACAAGTGTCTGTTGGGAAAGATTAAGGACGTTGCTCCCAAAACTTATTTCACCAAAGTGTTCTGTCCACCAAACTAAGTGGGGATCTAAAGAGGTTATGCATAAAACAGTGGAGATAATTCACATCATCAGTGGGAATTCAAGTGGGCAGCATTGTCTGTTCTACAAAATTGCAAAATTACTCCACAATGACTTGCCGAGTAAGAGAAAACACAACGGGTGCTTTGTGGAATTTGAGGCAAGCTCCAGTAAACTGTTCCATTCTACTGACTCGTAAAAGCAACGTTTCTGGCAAATTGAGCTGTTTTCAGACATGTCCTCCAGAGGGACTCCGGAGAATTGTGCCCAGACTTTCTCCAGAGATTCCCTGTCATACATGAACAACGCAGCAGGAGGTTCTCCGCTCAGATGTGTTTACAACAGCAACAAATCCTCCAGGGGATTCAAGTGAGGGGTGGTGCAGCAGGAAGTAGCAGTAGTATTATTTCTGCTGTGAAGATCATGTGTTTGTGTTCACAGCACCTTGACGCTCGATCACCATAAATTCTCCTGACATCTTCCTCTGTGTTTTCTACGAGTGTGGCTCTGTGTTTTCAAGTGGAGGTATAGAGTTCAGTGAATGTCTGAAAGCAGCTTTTCCCCTGTTTGCTTTATTTGATGGTTGCTATTGTACAGGTTTAATTCTTGCAATGTTAACATTATTACTGGTGTATGCTTTACAGAAGTCAGGTGTGGTTGAGTGCATACAGGGAGGTTGGATGATTTATACGTAACACTGGACTTTAATGTGGGAGACCGCTGTTTGTTTCCTGTTCCAAACAAATAGATGGCGTTGTTTGTGTAAACCGTGACGATGGCAGTTCTATAACTACCTGTTTATCATCTTAACCACGATGACAAAGTCCTTCGAACCTACCAAACTACTCTGAATCATAACTGTGATGTTTCCCTAAAATCTAACTCACCTTTTTTGGGCCTAAACCTAAACAATCTTTTTACTTTCTGTGTTTTTGAGAACAGTTTATCTGACATAATTTCCTAAACGGTTCTGTGAGTGATGAGAGGCGAGACACACATGACCTTTATGCTCTTGTTGCCTGTTAGAGTAGAGAATATAGGATTTTACAGCTTCTGCACTTTGCAGTCACATAACAACATTATTTAACAGCCTGTTTCACACATAGACTACAGTGTCTTGGAACTTGAAGCTATTTTCCTCCTCAAGTCCCACTTTAGCCTAAAATAACAGACTAGTTGATCATGGGTTTCTGTATCAGAGCCACTGTTGCAGATTGAATTGGTTTAATTGTGATATCTGGAATCAAACAGGGATTTTAATGGGACCGGGAGACTTTGGTGTATGATGCACATTTGTTCATGTGAAAGAACATTGCAGCTGATGTCAATTATGGCAACAATGCATATGAGTATGGGGTCTTTTTTGACAGGGCTGATAGCACTGTATGACATGTTTACAGATATAACATGTGAATAAAACCTTTGTGTATGGTGGTGAAGACAACTCCCTTGATCCCACTCTGCTTTACCAAGTCATCAAACCAGGTCTTTTGTTGATTGAGAGATCCCTGGCAGCGGGAGTTGCGTATTGTACGTTTAATCGTTGGCTGCTTTGCCGGAGCTTATAGATTAGAGGATTTACAAAATGGGTTCAACAGTTCAGAATCTGCTCTGTCCTACAAGCAATAAGGACACTGTTCCGACCGTGACCATACACAGGGATAAATGACTGGATGGAAGCCATGTTGCTGGAGTCAAAATAGATTCAGAGATGGGGCTGAGTTGCAAAAGAGACCTTACAAAAGGGCAACACAGCAGTGTTAATTAACTTTTACATTTTTTTTTTTTTCATTTTGTCCGCACGCAGGTCAGGAGTTTGCATCTCACTGCCCCTCATTATGACAGCACTCCAGGACGTCTCTCTCCAGGGCAGCTGTTTGGGCTTGTTCCCAGACTTTATTCAAAAAAGGAAACTGTAGATTTCTGTTTAACGGGTATGAAAGCAGTATCGTTTAACTGATTTAACCCTTTTCAAGAATGTGTATTGGCATAATGATTCTTTTCATCTTTCTTAAATAAGTTTACAGCTTTGTTATTTGTGCCGTATCCCATCAACACTAAATATCTGCTCTGGTTTAGGTAAATTATTGATGCTCCCTGACTCCTGTCTTTCTATGGTTGGTTTTGCGCCTAGCAGCTATGGTAAATT